ATTTCCAAACTTCTGTACAATCTTCATCTTTAAGACAATGGCCTTTCATGAGGCTAAACACTTGAGAAATTTCACATCTGGGGATGTGCAACCCACATCCCTTCGCCTCGCCCCTCCCTTGCTTCCTTCAAGGTCCGTCTTCAAGAGCTTCCTCATCAACCACGCATTCGTTCACCCTCCTAACCTCACGCTCCCTGCCCTCTACCTCTCCTGATCCCAACCCCCACCTCAGGTCAAGTCCTTGACTGTCCAGCGCTTTAGGACATCCTCCCGTTGTGAAAGGCGCTTTACAAATGTAATTTGTTGCTGTTGTTGCTTTTTACTGTCCTGCGCATTCCTACATTTTAAGACTAAATAGTTTTACAGGCTAAGACTGGGTGGAACTTTAGGCCTACCTCTGTGTCTCATAGATCCACTGTTACAATGCAATGGAAATGTGACTTTGATGATATTAAAAGGGCAAAGTGAAAGCAGTATTTTAATTAGTTGTAGAATTTAGAGATTTGACAGTAACGTGTATTTCTTTCTATTATTACCCATTTGACTGAATAATTGGCCTGGCAAGCTAATTAGGAAGTTATCAAGCTTGCACATTGTCAATATCTTAATTGAGCTTGGATATTCCCACAGACATGTGGTGTTAAACAGTGACAATGCACACAGATTCTGCATCAGAAATGGAAACTCCAATCTAAAAGGCAGCACAAGGGATTGGTTGGGTCAAATTACAAAGCAATTATAGCTATAAACGGCATTAATAATATTTAAGATTATTTTAAATGTCTCCAGTTAAATCTGTAACACTGACACATCTTTGGCCAGGGAACTGGGGACTGACAAGAGTAAACAATAGCTGTCGCTGCCTCCTCCAATTTGGAAATGTTTAGGTAAAACACTTTTGCTTAGCTTGTGATCTAGGCTGACAGCCCATTGCAGAGTTGTGGCAGCATTTTATTGTCAGAGATCAAGCCATTCAGATCAGCCTAAAACCCGAGTGGCATAAAGAACGTATAACTCAATTCAAAAAGAGAAGGGAGCTTTTCCTGGTCAATCGTCCTCCAATTAACTTAGCCATCTGGTTATTCGTGGTTCATTGCTGTATGCCAAAGGACTTCTGCATTCACCTACAAATACACAGTCCACACACTTCATATGTATTACTATGAAATGCTTTGATGGATTTCAACATAATAAAGCACTATATCAAATGTAAAGATTTTAAAAAATATTATTTCTGTGCTATATTCACAAATGCTCACTCAATCCATAAGTGCTGTGAAGAATATAATAATAATAATAATCCTTGCATTTGATATAGCGCTTTTCACGTCGGGAGGACGTCCCAAAGCACTTCACAGAACACACTGTAAAGTGAATTGACTGTATATTTGTGGGCGAACGCGGCAGCCAATTGCACACAGCAATGTCCCACAAACAGTCGTGGATTGAAAATGACCAATTTATTATTGTTTTGTTTTTTGGAGGGATTATTATTAGGCTCTGTGTGGAGTAAGGAAACTTGCCCAAGGTTTCGTCCTCTGCCTGGAATTGAACTCAGGTCTCTTGCTTGCAAAGCGAGTGCTCTAACCACTGAGCTACAGGACTCCATAAGAGGAGCAGATAGGCTGAGATTGGGAGGACAGTGTGAAGGAATCTTGTACATTTTTGCAAGTTAACAATGCATATACAAATCCTACTGTGAACTTATATCCTGCAAATAATGAGGTCCATTGATCAGACCCTGAGACACACACTGCTCTGGAATGTCAGCCTAGTCTACGATCATTAAAATTTGTTCTCCAGAAAGTTTATGGCTGTCCTTTGAAATGCCAAGAACTATTAAGGGACCATCCTGGCCTGGAGCTGGATTAGACTTGCTCTGTTGGGTTTATAATGCAGTGGAATCAATTGATGTGCTGCAGAAACCATCTCCCTGAAGTGGATGGGGTTTTGGCAATGTCCCTCTAAAGTGACTCACTCCCAAACAGAGCTAAATAGCATTCTGAATTGATTGTGTTACTTGTGTACGTTGATCACTGAGCTGAAAATAAAAGGCTTTACAAAACTACAAGCCCCAGCACTCGCTTTCTACGCCTGAAATAATGGATTTTCTGAGCAGACAGCTACATATGAGATGAAGGTGCAATAGAGAGAGTTTGAATAATATAGGAGTTGCTATAACTGCTCTGTGATGTGGAGAATCTTTGCTTTTTAGCCGTTTTTACACAGGCTTTGTTTTATTCTCACTGGAACCTTCTTTAGATATCAGGGTAAATATTTAAATGCTTATTTTTTTNGTATTACAAGAGTTTGCTCCTTTCTCTGGTCTGGCTATTGAAAATCTACACAATGAATTAGAAATAGAATGGAACCTGCTTGGTTGTGGTGGTTTTGAACTCTCGAAGATCATGCAATTAACTGGGGAAGTCAGCTAAATGAACAAGACAGCTGACAAGACGGCATTGACCATTTTGCAATGTTTTCTTGCTGCATCGCTGCAGCCGAATATCCTTCGGGAGGATTTGTGCTCAGACTCTGTACAAATGATTGATTGATGAAACATGCAAATACAAGGTCAAAGATTCCAACATGACTGGAAATACTGATCCACGTAAGCAGGTTGCACAAATGGAGGCTTTCTTATTCATTCCACATCGATAGAAACAAATGGGTCCTAATGATTCACTCTCACATAGAAACGGAATGGGCAACGAAACCCTACAAACCCACACAACTCACTGTATCTGTATTGAAGAAGCAAGAATTCCTGAACGCGTGGCTATGTTTGTCAATAAGAGAGCTAGGATTTGTTCTGTCCATTATGGTACTTGGCATTTTGAGATCCACAGTGCTTATTTTATTGAAACCAGAACTCCGTCCTCCAAGTTAAGAATGAATTCAACAATTTTCCAAATTCTGCCCTCTGAAATGTGACATAAATAGAGTAGAATCATAGAATTTTACAGCACAGAAGGAGACCATTCGGCCCATCGTGTCTGTGCCAGCTCTTTAAAAAAGAGCTATCCAAATCAATCCCACTCCCCTGCTCTCTCCCCATAGCCTTGCAAACTTGTCCTTCTCAAATAATTATCTAAAGTGAATCCAGAATCAGGTAGGATTCTCACAGCAATGTGGAAACAAATATTAAGACTCTGTGGTAGCAAGTATATCACTCTGTAATAATATCTTGCAACAACAAAGCCTTACTGCATCACTCATCGATCTGGATGATGAGTAAAATCCAATGCATGGTGGCACTGCAGATAATAATAATAATAATAATCTTTGCATTTGATATAGCGCTTTGTCATGTCTGCAGTATAGTTCAGGACAGATTGCTGCACTCTGCACTATATTACGCATGGTCTGTTTCTGTCAGAGGGATTTAAGAATATTTCTGTGTGAACATTTTTACTGCTCATTAAAGATGCATTGACTTTCCACTTTATTCAATTTTCACATGCACTGAAAACCTACCAGCCTCAGTCGGTGATGAGATTTGTATAGTAACCTTTGTAATTAATTTTTTTTTACTCCAAATGACCTCATGGAGTGCATTTAAAACGCCTAACCATTTCAAATTTATCTTTTTTGCTTCTTCACCGGAGCATCACACTCCCTGGAGACCAGGCATGCTAGACGACTTGCTCTTAGACCTTCGTTAACGTAACTTCCGCATAATACAGAGGAACCATTTCCTCTGGTGGGGGAATCTACAACAAATTTTAATAATTGTAAAATTAGCATAAATTTAAACTTAGGCCATTTAGCAGTGAAATTAGGAGGCAGTTTTTCACCCAAAAGATAATGGAAATCTGGAACTCTGTCCCCAAAAGGCTGTGGATCCTGGGTCCATTCACATCTTAAAGACTGAGGTGGATGGACATCTGTTACGTCAGGGTACTAAGGGATACAGGGTAAGGGCGGGTAATTGGACTTACAGATCAGCCTTGATCTTATGGACTGGCAGAACAGGTTTGAGGGGCTGAAGGCTTACTCCTGTTTCTATGTTTGTATGTAATGCATCTGAGGGGTTGTGTGAGTATGGCCAGGCGAGACAGTCTTTGTGCAAGCTTGGTGCATGCAAAATGATGGGCTTAAGCATGCATCCTGGGTCAGCGATGAATCCACTCTTTGGCTGCCTGCAACCAACCCTTCAACTCTAATGAACAATAGTCAAGCAACAATGCGAGGCAGAGATGGTAAAAACAGTAAATGGAATTCTGGTTCCAGAAAATGCCTTAAGCTAAGAAGATCTTAAATTTCTGCTGAACTTGCAGTGTCTTCAGGCAAATCCCAGCTTTAGAGCAGAATTGATGCGAGTGTAGATAAAGTGAGCATGATATTGACTTGTTACTGAACAATTCAGCATAGGATTTGCGGTTACCTTTTATCAGCATGGAGAATTCTTTCCACTAATATCTATAGGACTCTACATGTGTAGTGGAATTTATCAATGATCTTTCTGTAATAAGTAGACATCTCATCCACTTTGATTCAAGATTTATTTCTGGTTGATATGCTAGTCATGATTATCATCTTAATAATCTTGCAGTGAGTTGTTATGGTCTGGAATGCACAGCCTGAAAGGGCAGTGGAAACAGATTTAGTAACAACTTTCCAAAGGGAATTGATTGGCATTTAAAGAGGAAACATTTGCAAGGATATGGGGAAAGAGCAGAGGAGTGGGACTGATTGGCTAGCTCTTCCAAAGAGCTGGCACAGGCACGATGGGCCGAATGACCTCCTTCTGTGCTGTAATATTCTATGATTTTATTATTAACATGATGTTTTAGTAATATAGAATGAACTTCTGTTAATACAATACAAAGTAGGGCAGGAAAGTCAACATTTATATTTCTCCATTGGGTATTAAATGGTTTTTAACAAAAGATTTACTGTGATTTATAACAATTCTCTTTCTCGTTGTTAAACAAAATGTTTCCTATCCCTTTTAGCAACGACTTACTGATAGATTTAAAAATAACCTCTTTTATTAGTTTTCAGCCTGCCGGACTGATGGAGAAGATTCAAGCGATAGCACAGAATGTCTCGAGCCTAGCAGCCAAAGTTGAGCAGCTTCTGCAGATCAGCCTCACAGCAAGGAAAGACGTGGCTTTCAATGGGAAAGGTATGTTTCTGGCGTAGATCTCAATGATTTTACAGTGTTTAACCCAAAGGACAAGTAAAATCATAGATTCATGGAAATTTACAACTCAGAAAGTTTGACGTGGGTGGGGGGGTGGGGGATGTCATTCAGCTCATTGAGTCTACACTGACTCCCAAAGCAATCTGTCCATTCAATCTTATTTCCCGGCCTATCCCCATACCATTTCAAGCCTGTGTTTATATGTACTTGTCGCTTTCCTCTTGAAACCAACAATGGACTTTGCTTCTATTTAAATAACTCTTAGCATTGGAGTTCCACCAATGGTTTAATTAGTAAAGACACTGCCTAGTGCACAACAGAGCCATGAGTTAGGTGACCTCACCTGGAGTGGGGCACTGCAGTTGGCATCCACACCCCTGGAATAGGGAGGGGAAAAAGGAACTGCCCTTACCAGTCATTTGAAAGCTTGGCATTACTCTCAACCTGAGAGCATTCAAAGCATGACATTAAGTATAATCAGAATGAACTGCAAGGCTATTTTCTGTCTTACTCAGTGTCTGATAACATAAAGTGCTGCTGATGTCAGACCCATTCTGCAGCAAACTCGCAGCAGATTTCAAAAGTTCCCTTCACAGAAACTTGCTGTACCGGGCGTAAGCAATTAATGTGGACTTTCAGCTCACAGATAGTGCAATTAAGTCTTGAATCGTTTCATCAGGTAATTCTGTAAAACCCTCCAGAGTCTGGACTAGGGTGTCACCATGAACAACTGCAAATAGATTAAAATCTACTTCACTTTCTTGCCACTGAACCCAAGAAAGACATAAGGATTTGCGTAAAGGGCATTTTGGTCCATCAGGCTGGTCCGAAGGTTAAAAAAAAATAGCCCTACTCTCCACCATCTCTTGTACCTGCCAATCGATTTCTTTCACCAATTAAATATCTAATTTGCTCTGGATTTTGCTGACAAGCTGCCTCTGTCAACTCCCAGGGTAGTCTATTCGATGTATTCACCACACTCTTCTGTGTAAAGTAATTAAAATCTGCAATGTCTGTTTCAGTTCCCTCCTCTCAGCCTGAAAGCCACAGATACAGAATCTCTGCAGCCAAATGACATGCTACCATTTTTTCTCGTTTTGTCCTTACTTCAGTTCTAAACCATCTGCAGCTTCTTATCAAAATAAGGGTCGTCATTAAAGACCTACAGAGGTGCGAACATTTATTTTATTAACAAAGTTATATCATTATATTTTGACCAGAACTTTGGTCATCTTTAGCCTCAACACCCACCTCAGCTCCCATCCCCAGCCTATATAGATCCACCCTGCATTGTCATGTGCTTTGAGAAGACCTTCTGACATGAAAGGCGCTGTATAAATGTAGGTTATGTAGAAATGTCTGTTATAATCAGCAATAAAAATTGCAAAATTTGTTCTGTTCCACGTGGTTTTCAAACCATTTGTCTTCATATGAGTAAGCGAATCCCTTGAGTTTAGTATTAAACAAAGATGGTGGAAGCGTAAATCAGGAGTGACATTTCTGGAGTCTTGGGAGACTTCAGTGATACGGGATCGTATTGCAGAGCAGACTGTAGCTTTGAAATCTTTCAAAAAACGCTGTTAGGAAAAACTATATTTGATTATGTAGCTCCCTGAATTGCAATTCTTCACACATGACAATGTGGTTCCATTGGATTAATACAGAAAACCAATCCGCAGTTTGAATTGCTGTATTGAAAACTTCCGCTTGGCTGCATTGTGCTCCCCCACCACCGCATGTCCCCTCCTACCCAGACCATCCACACCACCTTCTCCCTCCGCCACGGCTCCTGCCACTCCCTGCTCCTTATACTCCTTTGCCCCAGTTTCTCCCTCCTCCCTCTCAACCACAATCACCTGGATGAAGTTCACCACCTGCTGCCTCGACTCCCTCCCCACCCAGCTGCTGGTCAATCAACTCCCCCTCCTCTCCCCACTGCTGGCCAACCCGGTCAACCAGTCTCTCTCCTCAGGCTCTGTTCCATTCCCCCTAAAAACTGCTGTCATCACACCCCTCCTCAAAAACCCACCCTCTATCCCTCTAATCTCGCACGCTACCGTCTCATCTCAAACCTACCCTTCCTTGCCAAAGTCCTGGAACGCATTGTTGCAGGTCAACTTGGGTCACACCTCTCCCTCCACTCCCTCCTCGAGGCCCTGCAGTCTGGTTTTCGCCCTGACCACAGCACAGAGACAGCGCTTGTCAAAGTCACAAACGACATTCTCCCTATCTGTGACCAGGGCTCTCTCTGCCTCCTCGTCCTCCTGGATCTCTCTGCCATGTTGGACACAGTCGACCACACCATCCTCTTCCATCGGCTCTCCTCCCTCATCTACCTTTGTGGGACCCCACTCGCATGGTTTGAGTCCTACTTAACCAACCACCTCCATTTGATCTCAGCAAATGGTTTCTCCTCTCACCCCCGCCCGGTCACCTGCGGGGTACCCCAGCGCTCCATCCTTGGCCTCTTCTTTTTCTTATCTATATGTTCTCTCTCGGCGCTGTCATCCACAGACACAGAGTAAACTTCCACATGTACGCGGATGACACACAAATCTAATTTGCTTCCTCCAGTACCAACTCCAGGTCTGCCGATGTTCTATCCGCTTGTCTGGCAGACATCAAGGCCTGGATGAGTGTAAACTTTCTGCAGCTGAATATGGACAAGACGGAAGCCATACTCCTTGGCTCCCATCAACATCTTTACTCCTGCGGATCTAACCTCCTCAACCTCTCTGGGCTCTCCCTCAGACTCATTGAACCAGTGCGGAAGCTAGGCACCTGGTTCAACGCCCAACTGTCCTTCCTCCCTCACATTCGGTCTCTGACCAGGACCACTATCTTCCACCTCCACCACATTGCCCGCCTCCAGCCATACCTTATCGCAAATGCAGCCAAAACCCTCATGCATGCGCTTGTCACCTCCCACTTGGATTACCCCAACGAGTCTCCCCAGCTCCACCATTCACAAGATCCAGCTCATTCAAAACTCTTCTGCCCACGTACTGACCCGGACCAAACTCCGTACCCACATCTCACCAGTTCTGGCCCAGGCTCCACTGGCTCCCCATCACCGAACGGATCAACTTCAAGATCCTCTCATTCTCGTGTTCAAATCCATTAATTCCCTGGCATCTCCCTCCCTCCCTCTCCGACCTCCTCACTCCTCAATCCACCACCCGGTGCCTCCGCGCAACCTGCACCGGCCTCCTGCTCGTCCCTCGCACCCTCCGCTCCACCATCAGAGATTGCGCTTTCAGCAACTATGCACCAACACTCTGGAACACTCTCCCTCAATACCTCCGCCTTGCCCCCTCTCTCTCCTCTTTCAAGTCCCACCTGAAAACCTTCCTCTTCGACCGTACTTACGGTCACCTCCCCCCTCCCCCCGGCTCGGAGTTAGGCTCCGCCACTGTTAAGCGCTCTGAGACACTACCCTGGGTGGAGGGCGCTACATAAGTGCAAGTTGCTGTTGCTATTGTAGAATAATACATTGTGGGTAAAGCCAGCTTTGCAACATATTATAATACTAAAAAACAAGAAGCTTTACCTAAATGGCAGATTTTTAAATGCAATGGTTTGTGCGCCACCTTCTCTGTGTGTTACATTGTCACATTGCCGCATTCCCCCCCGCCCCAACCCATTAATTCCTTATTGCAAACCCTCGACTATCCAGCACCTTGTGTCATCCTCCTGGCGTGAAAGATGCTATATAAATGCAATTTGTTGTTGTTGGGCCTGAATGATAAAACAGACAATGCTACTATTTGAAAAGAACCTCTGATTATTTGCAGCTCAACACGTTTTACACTTAACATAGTATCTTTCACATCAGGAGGTTGTCTCAAAGCTCTTGACGTTGCTGGCTGGGTGCCCAAGCTCCGCATGGGAGGGAGCTGAGGGGGTAGGGGATGGGTAAGATGATCGAAAGCGCAGTCAAGAAGCTATGTTTATTTGACTTGTATTGAGGATATGCCAAGATCTTCAAACTGGTGGAACAAGCTCGATGGCTGAATGGCCTCCTCTTGTTCATGTTTTGCCTACATTCTCAATGCAATGACGTGCTTGGAATCAAACTGAAGTTTTCCGCTGCTTTGTTCAAATATTCCTACCCCGTGCCATGCTTTATGGTTCCTCTTCCCCCTTCCTCCCATGAAGATCTGTGCACAGTTAAAGGCCGCTTCAGAGTTGCAAAGTGCCATTAAATCAAGGGAATCCATCACAAATTGATGCCATGTTATCAATGTGTGAGTAATAGGCATAGATAAATGGAACCTGTGTTTCAAGACTGTAATTCAGATGAGGGATTTTGATGACATCACAAACCTCAGAAGCCGAGTGGTTTTGAATCACAGAATTCTCTCTGGAGCCATCTGTTAACTTATATAATATAGCACGGATTATAATTTTCGATTGAATAAGTGATGTTTGTAACTAATATTACCGCTTCTGCTGTGCCGTGGAGATGGAGAAGGTGGGCAGAGCATTCACAGCTGGGAATGGTGACTCAGTCACATTCACAAAAACGTCTGGTGGTTAATTTTCACTTGCCCTGAATAGAATTTAGAGTGGAGTCCTGTAGCTCAGTGGTTAGAGCACTCGCCTCGCAAGCGAGAGACCTGGGTTCGATTCCGGCAGGGCGAAACCTTGGGCAAGTTTCCTTACTCCACACATCTGGTAATATTCCCTCAAGAAAAAAAAGAAGAAATTGATCACGCCAATCCACGACTGTTTGTGGGACACTGCTGTGCGCAATTGGCTGCCGCATTTCGCCTAAAAATATACAGTCAATTAACTTAACAGTATATTCTCTGAAGTGCTTTAAGACGTCTAGAAGACGTGAAAAGCACTATATTAAATGCAAGAGTTATTAATATATTATATATTAGAATTTAATCATTGCCCAGCTTTAATTCTTTGGAAAGGAAGGAGAATTCCTACATGCAATGTGCTTATTATTACCTGTGATAATTATCAGGGGC